TTAACTGGTAGTGCATAAGAATTGAAATGATGAATAATTGTATTATTGTCATGAGATGATAGTTTTCTTCAAAATAGCAAAATATGAGAAACTTAAGATATAAACTTCTTTTAAAATATGGCCTATTTAATATATTTTAAAACATAGTCCTGATATAAATAATGTATATAATAAGGTTTAGTATTTTAACAAGTCAAAGTTATAATCAAACAAGGTGTTGGTTTTTTTCTTGATGAATTAGAAATGTAACCGCAAATAAGATAATTTACAAATAAAAGTTGAAATCCAAATTTGTAAATTTTTTCTTCCTAAACCACATAATACCATTCCTATCTCACTATATTTTAATTAGCAGAGGTTTTTTGGAAATGGCATGGTACATGCTCATACGATGACTCAAAATGTAACTTGGCCTGCAATTTTCTTTCGGGGAACAGAACACTCTAATTCAAATCCATTATTAAAAAGCAGATAACATGTGCACTTTCTGAAATGCCTGTGACTTCACTCTTTTGATTTTATGTAATTATAAGAGAATGTTCATATGTATTTGCTTTTCGATTGGCACAGCATTTTAAAACTGAGTGTCTTCAGATAGAGTACATATTTTCTCTTGGTTCATAAAGAATATTACTGGTTTTTGTGCTCAAAACTTTGAAGGTTTCATAATGCAGTCACAGTGCAGTTTATAGCTGTGCTTACAATAAGAATTTCTATGCATACCCTATGTATGTAGAGAAAAAAACATTAGATATTGGTTTGGATTTTGAAATTAATAACTGGTAACTAGATCCTGTGCCTTTCCTCTGTGTTATCTTGTAACTTCCATCAGTTCTCAAGCAAAACTTTGAACTCAGTATTTTTCCAAACTTTGCAGCTCAAAGCAAATACTTTTCATTTAAACTAATTTCAGTTAACATCGTAAAATAGGGAAAACATCACCCACTTAAAAACAGCTTAAATTGCATGTACTTTGTCACTGTAAATAAACAAGGTAAACATTGACATAACTTCAGATTTTTCTGGGGTTGAAAAAAATCTACAGTTCAAAATAAAATTCTGCCTTTGGTCAACATTTTGGATGCAATTCAAAGTTTCCCATAAAATAAACATATTTTAAAGAGTGTTTTGAATTTCACTGCATAATTTCTAGCCAACAGAAATTACAGTGGTATCTTTAAGGTTTATTATATGTCAGATCAATAGCCATTATGCAGGACGAACACAACCATCGAGATGCAATTCCTTCCCTCTGCTTAACCCTTACTTCTGTGACATGAAGAAAAACTTCCTATAGGTGGTCCTTGGGGAAATCTCTGACAAAGTGAAACTTTCCTGTTTCTTTGTTTAATAATAAAAGTATTCTTTTCTTATGAAATGTAAAAGGAGGTGAATTTTTAGCCAAGGAAGCAAAATGTTCATTAAGATAATCTTCATGAGAGTTTTTCAGTAAAAGGGGGAAATAGTTTTACATTCTGCATACTAACAAATTATTTTGAAGCATGAGCTTAAAATGAAAATGCCCCATCACAACAGATTGTAAATTTTTTTCTGATGCTTTTAAAAGTGCCTCCATCATTTCTACGGCTACAGTGTTAAAGTTAAGTATTTGCTATTTTATTTAAACATTTTTGAAAAATGAACATTCTGGGGCTTTACAGCATTATTAAGAAAAGCTGTCCATACTTTACCATGTTGTTACATGTGTTTATCTGCTGATTATAAAATGTGTTAAACAGTATTTTAAAAACAAAAAAAAAAAATGCAGAGCTGCGCTTTGATTAATTCAGTGAACAAAACATATGCTGTTGGTTCTGTTCTATGAAATTCATATATGATCAATAAAATCTTTTAAAAGAGCAACTTTGGCTTTTAGGCTCATACTGCCGACCATGTTTTTCGTCCCAGTTAACTCTGGGCTCATACTGAAAACTTAGGCAAACAAAACCACTTTCTGGCTGTGATAGTCATGTCTTTTTAATACATTTTTATCCTCTTTCTAAAATTTCTTTAGGTTGGAAGCTGTGTATTGTGGTTGTTACCCACTTTGTCCCAAAGATTTGGTTTATCCCGAAATATTTCCAGGTAGCTGCTTTAATGTACTTTCATCTTTGTTGAAATTTAATACATGATTCATGCTAAATTAGAAAGTTTGAAAATAAACTTAGGCAGGAGCAATTGTTTATTTGGCAAGTCAACATGTTAGTGTTAAGGAAAATTTTATGTGTTTTAATACATTAGAGTAAGCTTATATTTACCATCTGTTCTTTTAAGATAACAAAAAAGCAAGTTTTCAAATAGCATTCTTCATTGTTAGCATACACATCCCATAATGATGGATTTTTATAAGCAGGTCAGTGTTGTTGCAATTGCTTACAGATTTTTTTTAATGATATACACAGAGAAAAATTGAGGACTGAAAGTCACACCAAATTATTTAAACAATTGACTAGTTAATAATATGCAACTGTTGTACTGGGTACATATGGCTATAGTACTAGTTCTTTGAAAAAATTCTCATCACTAAATATATCACATATGCATTGTGTTACATTAGAATAATGTATTTTAATCACCCAAAGGAGATGTCTAAACAGCACAACTACACAGTCTTATTTAGCATTAAACATCCTTGTGAGCTGAGGTAACCTTATAAAATCATGCTTAAATAATGTAAAACACGAGGCGGCACAGAGCAATATGCATTTTTAATTAGTAAAGTGACTAATATCGAGTGTGTGCTTTGAGGTTTTTGTTTCATTAAAAATGTATCTGTTTTTCCTGCAGCTGAATATCTGTATTCTACACCTGAACAGCTTTCAAAAAGGCTCCAGAATTTCTGCAAAAGACCAGATATTGTAAGAAAACATCTCTATAAGGTAGTTATTGAGAAGAGATTTACGTGGTATAAATGCCATATTGAAGTACAAAGAAAAATCTTTAAAAAAAAACATTTAATTAACATACTAATGTTTAAAGGAAACATGCTAGGGAGGGATATTAGTTGTTACACTAACAAGGATTAATTAAACTGGATGCCAGTCGTATTAACCTAGGTCTTATGAAATACGTGCACTTAATGCACAGTACATGCTTTTTTTTTAATTTATTGTTTTCTGAGATGACTGTCCTTTACATTTAGCCCCAAGAGGCTTATAAAAATGAACCTGGATTAATGTAACTCATTAGTTTAAAAGGAAATAAAGGAAAGATTCTACAATTATACTAATGAGGATAAGCCTTTCTTCCCATCATAATGAAATCTTCAGTCCTCCAAAATTCAGGTGAATGACATTCGTGAAGTTTGGTGTTCATTTCTAATGACTTGAAAGGTGATTTTTCAAGAATCAAATGTTTCTCTTGTTTAGTTTAATAAAATGACATAAAAATCCTCAGTTTGTTTAGAATTAGACTGTCTAATTCTAAAGACTCCTCTCTGAATGGCAAAGGCAAAAGGAAAATAGTTTAAATAGCATCATCATTCAGTCCCCTCATTCATTATCTTTTTTTCCTTGTTTGAATCAAGAATTTTACATTGTTGAAATAACCACACAAAGAGGCCCTACTAAAAGTCTAAGTAATTGAACTGGGATAAATCTGCTTTACGAGTTTTGAAGGTGGCTCTAGGCCATGAGTAATATACCTTTTTATATTCTTTGAATGTAGCATCTTCATTTTACATAAATTCAGTATAGTTTACAATCTAGCAGTTTTATAATCCAGCATATTTTAATTTTCCTATCTTAATATATAGCCTTCCTACATGAAATACAGTTCTCTGCCTTTTTTCTCTCCTTTGCCTTTTCATGGCCTAAAATACATATTTACATAGTGATACATCAAAACATGACTTTGTTTCTGCAGGAAACAGTTAAACTTCAAGAAAAAGGGAGAGAACCAAAAATGCAATTTAACACCCAATTTCAAGCTCATTATCTTTCATTGTCTATTAACTTGGCAATGGTTCAGAAGGTAGCTCATAATAGTTTAAAATGCTGACTGAACAGTTCCAGGCTTCAATATTACTCCTTGAGTCAATACAATTGTATTGTATACGTGGGAAGCCTCATAGAGAAAACTGTCTTCCAAGGTTTACGTCCAGATTTTCTAATTTTTAAAGTTCAGTAGTAGTCTTGTTTGTGTAAAATATTAATCAAGTAGTTTCCCACGTGACAGACTATTAAAATGTGCAGATTATGAAAACTGAAGAAACAGAATAAGTGTTAATACAAATGGATTCATTTTCTATACATGACACAAAGCTATTTTCAATGAATTCACCATAAAATTATCGATTTTTTTTTCTTTCAGCTGAATTTTTGGTGAAGTTTTTTTCCCCAATTTTATTAAGATATAATTGACATATAGCACTGTTTAAGTTTAAGGGGTATAGCATAATTTGTGAAATGATTACCACCATTAGTTTAGTCATCATCCATCATCTCATATAAATACCAAAAAAGAAAAAAAATGTTTTTTCCTTGTGATGAGAATGGTGAAGTATTTATAATTGTATTTCCACCATCAAAACGTATCAGTTTTTAACTTTGCTTCACGTTCGGTCTTATTATCCCTGTTATTTTGCATCTGCAAATGTTTAACCATTTCAAAAGTTACTGCAACAAGTTGCCTTTAGTTACAAAAGAAAACAGATCTGCAGTTGAAATATTTTAATATAGCTACTGCCATAACATAGCTATAATTTTTTATTTTACAAACAACTCCTGGAAAAACTCTGAAAGAATGTCAGCTTAGTGGTATGCTGTTAATATACCAAATTGTTCTTGTACAGCTTAAAAGATAACCTATGCCTTAAATTTTATTTCATGTTACTACTTTTTATATATATTTTTAGTCAGTACATGCTACAATGCTCCATCTCAAAGTTTTATAAAATAGTATTTCACACATCAGCATTTATAAGAATTTATATGTATAATTCATTTTATGTATTTTCTACCATGGATTTTTTTCTTATAAATCTGTTATACATTTTCATATATGTCCTCATTCATAGATCTTGATGGTATCAAAAATCTCAAAAATTAATAAATTAGTCCAAGAATTATAAGTAATCAAGAGTTTTATGATGCAATTGTCCAGAGAAACTGGTAAAAGTCACAGGAAGGACCAGAGATTTAGTTTGGTTGTTGTAATAGGATTTAGAGCCAAAACAGAAAAAGAATGCCTTCTAAAACTTTGTAATTAAGATATAATAAGTTATGATATTTTTTCAGCTATGTTTTATAAATATACACATTTTCAGGTAACATTTGCCTTCATTACACACCAGAGAGTTCTTTTCCCCAAAGCAGGTTTTTACCCCCTTTTCTTATGCAATAGAAGAGTCTTTTATGTGTACTGTAAAGAAAATCTCGGAGGTTTTTTTATATTTATTCCATTGGACAGTGCTGTTTTGCTTTTGTAAAACATATGCTTCTAAGATCTAAAAGGATAGAATGTCTCGGATTCTTTAATTTGCTCCTTTTACATTTTTACACCTTACTCTTTTTTTTTTTGTTAAAAGTTTACATTTTAAAATCATCTCAACTGCTTATCCTATAGAGTTCACTTTAGGATAGGATTTTTCATATGGATTCACACTTAGAAATTTAATGACTAGAATAAGGCTACTAACACTTGGCTTTCTTCTCACATGAGACGTTATACTTTCAATATGAGTGAGAGTTTGGGGGCTATAACTTAAAGCAGGATTTGAAACAGAATGCTAGTAACCAAAAAGCAGAAACAGAATTTGATCCTTTTTTTTCTTAAAGTGACTCTTTCTACTACAGAACACCGTGCCCATGACTTCTCACCTGAAATGGTTTCAGATTTGAAATGTTTAAATTCCTCACGTGTATGCAAATGTGGTCTCTCTCTCTCCCCCTGCTCCCCTCCCTCTCTCTCTCACACACATTTTTCTTAAGATCTTTAGACAAATCCAGTGCATGTAGAAATGAAATTCTTAATTATTTTAAAAATCTAACACCACTTTCTTAATTTAAAAAACCAAACCATCTCTTTAAAAAGTTTACATCTAGGTTTAAGTCATTGACCGCAGCTTTCTTGTACTTTTGGGACGTTTCCTTTTCTAAGTAGGTTAGACACCTTGACCACGTAACTTGTCACATAAGTAAAGTAAGTTTCATTACATCCACAATAGAGAGCTATTTTATGACTCCCAAACCTAACTTAACACAAGGTTCTAGAAGTAGTCATAAAATAATTAGCCAAGGATCGACTGTTTAATTATTTATTTATTTATTGATTTTTTTCCCCCAAAGCCCCAGTAGATAGTTGTATGTCATAGCTGCACATCCTTCTAGTTGCTGTATGTGGGACGTGGCCTCAGCATGGCCGGAGAAGCGGTGCGTCGGTGCGCGCCCGGGATCCAAACCCCTGGCCGCCAGCAGCGGAGCGCGCTCACCCAACCGCTAAGCCACGGCGCCGGCCCAGAATCGACTTTTTACACTAACAATAGTTCTTCCTTTTCCAACCGAAGCAAGTCTAATACTGTGAAGGTGTATTTTTTTGCCTCATTTTTGCTATGTGAATTTACTTACTGAAAATTCCCAACAATTATTTGAGATCAGTACTTTATGCTTTTAAAGAACCTTTGATCATTATATTTTAAAATACCTTAGAGAAAAATTTATGGACATTCCCTTGTTACCAGTATTAAAAATGGCACAGGAGTGCAAATAGGCGAGTCATATAAAATGCAGACCGCCCAGACTAAAGGAATACGTTTTGATTCCCATCCTATTTCTCATTTACTATTGTTTACAAATTGAGCGATATTCTGTGTGAAAAAAAAGAGATGCCATTCTTTCTTGTGCTTTACCAGAGTGACCTGTAGTTTCTTAACATTTTTCAGATGATAGCTGCTGATTTCTATTTTGTTCTCCTCTCCAAGTTTTTCAACATTCCAGAAACCTTTATAACCTGCTATTATTTGGAGAAGAGAAGAATTTTCAGATTTCTACCTAAAAGTGATTCCAAACAATGATTAAGCTTACAGTTCAGACTCAGTGCCCAGAAAAGCCATTTGTGGTTGCCTTAATTATATCAGGCTATATCTACCCAAACCACAGCCAAGCCACTTTAAGTTTCCTTCATGAGACTGGTCACTTTATAGTTCCCTTTTAATTTAAGCTTATACTCTAGATGTGAATAAGGTGTTGCTCACTAGTATTAACACTCCTCCAAAGTCATTACTTTTTCCTTAAAAATGAAGACTTAAAAACTTGTGACATTTTTAGAACTTCTAAAATCTCTCAACAGCACCAGCACAATATAAGGCAAATTCTCAAATTCTCTCTCTCTCCCTCCTTCCACCTCTCCCTCCTCCCTACTCTTCTCTCTCTCCTTCTTCACTTCCTTCGTTGATTTTATTTGGCTTGGTTTTCCTTTAATTTGTCTAAGTAAAATAAAAGCAAAAATCCCTTAGCACAATAGATATACTTTGGGGGATTAAGATCAGCTAGAGGTTTTGCTTCTTGTCCTCTGCTACTCATTTGTAGCCTGGCTTTAGGTGAACTTCTTGGCCTCTATATGATTCATCTGTAAACTTGGAAGAATTTTTTTTTCTTAATTCTTAATAGCATTTTCCCCCTGAGGTACTGCTATAATGAAATCATGAATATAAACCCGTTTGTAAACTTGAAGTGCTTTATAAATTCCACGTAATAGTAATGGCATTTCTCTTGTGCCTTCACCACTTAAAAGTAAAATTCACATTAGCAAAAACATGTATTAAGAGTGTTGTGTATCTTGTGTTTATAAAAGCTAAAAGTTATGATAAACTTCTAATAGCTGTCATCCATAACATAAACCAGGAAATATGTGTGCAACAGAATGTACCCATTTGCAAAAAAACGAGAGCTTTCCTTTATGGTTGGAAATACAGTTACACTTTAAACCAATCAGAAACTAGGATCTCCAGAGGTGATGAAACTCGAGAACCATTTACTTGGTGGCTTTTTGAAATCTAATTGATGTAAGTTATGCAAATTTGCAATAAGAATTTTCAGCATGCTTTAGTCTTTAGGTCGTTAATGCTTCTTCATCGCTTTCTCTTCTCTCCCTCCTCTTACAGGGTGAAATGGCTCCTTTTTCTTGGGCAGCCCTACATGGTAAATTCAGGTCTCTGCTTACAACAGAACCTAGGGAAGATTTGTGACAGATGGGGCTAAGTCACAAACTTGCAGCCTAAGGCAGAATCTGTAGAACTTTCCAGAGTGTGCCCATATTTACCTGATCAGAGAGAAAAGAAAATCTGCAGAGGAAGCCGAGCCTGGCTGCTTGTCATAGCTGACACAGAGCCATCTGCCACAAACCTGTGGCGGCTTCAGATCTCCAGTCCCTGCCACCACCCCAACTCAAATTAAATACAGATTCCTAGAGACGTTATGATGGTTACACATGTCCTCGGCATCACATGGAGGAGACTGTTCAAAAAAAATATGTGGCCTGTTGTATAACCGCACTCATGTATCCCATATGTGGTGCCACATTGAATTTCCGGTTGAATCCGTTTTTATCCTTTGTACTGGATGACATGGTGCCTGAATTCTTTCTTTTCGCCGACACGATAGCAGCCAAACTGCAGCTTCAAACGCTCACACTTGGCTGGATTTCTACCTAGGTTGCCAGGTTATCATTGGAACCTTCTTGTGTCCTCAAAGGGCCACAGGGTCTGAAAGGAGGGTCAGAATGCTACTGGACTAATTGGGCAGCCATCTCAGAATTGTTTGTGGGCAAAGGGCTGCTTTAGCACTTTTAGCAAATTAATGATTCTCTGGCACAGGAGTTTTTAAGTGAAGGTATTAATAAGGGGTCTGGCAGGTATTCCCATGATTCACAGAGTTACATTTGCATTTAATTTATCTTAAAGAAAGTTGCAAGATAAACAGCTGTAATTCAGACAAACATGGGAAATACACTAAGTGGGGCCATCTTGCTCATAAAATGAACACTGAGACACTTGTTTTAATTTTCTTTCCAAGGGTAAAAATAGAGAAATCAAAATACTTCTAACAAAACCAGTAATTTTGATATAAATATTCCTCAAAAATATTTGCATCCAGCTACAAATATAACCTTTCCAAGATAAATGACTTATGATTCCAATAGTCAAGCTGCTGTATTTGTTGATGTAAAGATGTTTTGAATGGCTAGATTATAAAATAAATTTTTAATAAAGTGCCCACTGCAAGTTTTAATTAACATATCTCATTTACGTGTAAGTGTGTACATCTATCAGTATGTTTCTTACTGAACACTTTCCTTGTGTCGGAGACAACGAATACAATTGTTTCTTTTCCGGATGAACAAATATCTGTTTTGCAAATGTTTGTCAGATATTATGACATTTCCAAGATTTTTCTTTGCATTCTGGAAAGCAGGAGGTAAACATTTGTAGTCATTAAGGTAAAGTCTGTTGATAAACCATCTTCTGTTTACTGACAGGTAAATTCTAACTTTCCTAGCTTTTGAAATGAATAACTTCTATACACTGCGGAGTGAGGAGCAGCCAGGGAGAGGAGACTAGACAAGGGCCAAGCCCGGCTCTCTGGCTTCTAGAAGGATTGAGTGGTCCAGCAGGCATCTGAGATAAAGCAGGCAAAGGTTCAGAAGTCCAGTAGGGCCCATTTGACAGGTGGCAATATTGTAAGCAGGAAATAGATCAAGGTCAGGGAGGCAGATAGAGCCTTCGGGATAGAAGCAGTCTTCCAGATCAAAGAAAGCAGGAGTTCAGGGTCCATGAGGCCTGGGAATTTAAAAGCAGGAAGAGTAAGAAGCAGAAACAACAAGCTTTATCTTTGCGCAGAGAGTTGTCTCCCTAACCAGTGTGAGATCCATGATGTATGATGGACATCACGGCACTGGCTTCAACTCCTAGCTTGTGGGGAAGTCACTCAACAAATTACCTCCTCACTCATAAAACAAAAGGCTCCGGAATTATTCCAGAAGTCCCTTCAGGTCTGAGACTATGGAACTTGGAATCTATGAGGTGTGATCCTTTTGAGTGCAAAAGTTAAGATATTTAAAAATGCATGACTTTCTTAGACACTTCTCCTGGGCAGAGTTTGAGATGAATGAGATGAACTAGACTAGTAAATTTGCTTCTGTCAGAAAGGTGCCGTGTCACAGATGACATCTTCTCAAAATAAAATTATAACCTCACAGCCGAGAAACAGTTCTTAGTTTACTGTGTTTTACTACTCTGAAAATAATGGGCTCACTTTTACACTGGATAAGATATATGCACAACTGCCCATATACGTTTTCTCACTAATTGATGGGGAAAAACCATTAACTACGTTTCAGATCGTACATCCAAAACATTTAAGTATTTTCCTGATTTTGGCAAATATAATATTGAAAATTACTTGTATGTGGAGTTTTTTTTTTTCTATACCCATAAACTCAAATTTTGTCTTAGCTGTGCCCAGCATTCCTTCTGGAATAAAAATTTACATTAAAGTAGCCACTTCTTAAAACTATGCTGTCAAATTTGGTAGTAATGCAAATAAGCAATAAAACGTTTTATAAATGCATAATTCTTAACATTTGAAAAGATAACCATATCTGCATGTGTGTGTGCGCGCTTCTCAACACTCACGATATGGTGGAATGGAGCGTTATTAGGTAAGTTAACCCATGTTTTGTTGAAGTCAGAGGATAACGGAGAATAAAAGTTGACTCTTTAATTCCTGTTTCCCTTACTTTCCCCAAGCAATCAAACAGTCCCATTATTTCTTATTTTGAATATGGTTGTTGAAAATTTTGATCTTTTTTTTAAATATTTAATTCTGTTAATTTTATACTTTTAAGATAAATCATTAAACCAATTTTAATGTTAAATCGCTTTAAGAGTCTGCCCATTATCAAGACCTTGATTCAATGTCCAAGATGCTTTCTTTGAACTTACCTAATCTGTGTTTCTGGCTAGGTGTTTCTATAATAAATAGCAGGGCACCTAGTTCTTAACCTATTCATTTATACCATGTTCATCAGGAATAGGTCAAAAGACCTTTCTCAAGATGCTCCTACTTTAATAAGCATCCTTTATATACAGTTACGTTTAAATGCCTTGCTCGAGCTCTCAATTCTTCAGACGTGCCACATAAACATGGCAGCAGAATCAGTCAGTCATTGGAAACTTGCAACCATAGAGGGCTGCATAGATTCATTTCAACACCTTGAAATGCATCTGGAAGCAAAGATTTCATTTTATGTTGAAGGTGTTAATTATATTTGATATTTTTAAAAGTAAAATCTGCTTTTGAGAAAGCATCTGCTACCCAGAAATATTATGAGACACAAAATTTTTTTGCTTAAGTCTCAAGATACTATGTGGGTGATAGAATCAGTTTTCAAATGATAGTCCTTGCTGTCTTTTAATATTGACATATTCTGAGTTTTATTCTTCTATTGATTATTGACAAGTGTCACCCAAAGAGCCTTTCTGTTTCAGTGGAAAATTGGGTGGTATTTAATATCAGATGTTACATGTAACACTAAAGAGAGTATATGATAAACCACTGACATGAACATGTTTCATTTTAAAATTTGAATTGAGATATGGGACAACCAGTGCTTCTAGAATGTACCCTCCCTTAAAAGCTATTCGTTGAAATGTAACTGGGAAAGTTTAAAAACATGCAAACAGTTCTACATATTGCTCAAAGATGTGTACATAAGTGATTAAAGTATAACAAAAAGCATGGGAATTAACATTAAATTTACAATAATGTTTAAGTCGGAGGAGGATGGAGGAAAGAACAGACAGAACTGGGAGAGGCATATTCACTGTATGGTTAATGGTCCATTTCTTTACACAAAGGCTTATTCCTACTCTTTATGACTTGCTACATGTCTTAAATGTTATTTTTGAATATACCTTTTGATAGGAGCTATGAATACTTTGGTTAGTTTTGCTCCCATGGCAGCCTTAACATTTCTTGACTCTAAACGATTGATGGAGTCAGAAAACCATTTTCCCTCAAACAGTGAAAGCAAGTGCCCTAACTGCCAATTTTGCAGAAGACTTTCCTCTGCTTACCGGGAGCCAAAGACTTAACCTTGACCCTGAAATAAATCATGCTATGAAAAGAGTCGAACCTGAGTATCCATGGGCTCCTTCTTCCTGGGGCTGCCGATCACCATTTCTAACTAATGCCTGTGGCATTACAAATACAGGATGGAAAACTCTGGCTCTATAAACTCCCTTTTGAAGGGTATTGATGAGAGGAAGATGAAGGAAGGTGTTACATGAACCAGTCTTTTTTATCTTGGAACATTTAGAGCTTCATGGCACAGCTGTCTGATCTAACCACTCTGCCCACTTCCTGTACTATTTACCTGTTGCCTTTCCTTGTAAGACACAGGAGCCAGTTGTGGGCTCTGTACTTTCAGTGAAGTCCATCCCATGAAGAGGAGTCCTCTCTAATATCTTTAGGATGCCCTAGTTGCATGTGAGGTACATATGACTTCAGGGACCAAGATCCGCACTCACCCTATGGCTGATTTTCCTAAATTGGAATTTGGGGTCAGTGTCCTCAGGGGTCCTCCCATTATCTATCAGTACCTCAGTGATTCCTTTCAACCGTAGGACAGGTTCATAATTATGAGAATATATCAGTTCTCATAAACTGATATAAAGACTTGATGTTTCTTGGGAGATAATCTAAAATGCTTATATTACTAACCTATTGGTTACTGTATTTAAATAGCAGACCTAAGGTGGAGGGCTAGACGATGTGACTTCTACTAGGAATACTTATGTAACACCTTTGTCTAGAAATTTGAAGTCCTTTATATTTGCAAATGTAATGTTGCCATCATTTCACAAATGAGAAAATTAAGGCATCATATAATGGCATATTTAGGATCCAGACTGGGTTATAGAAATGGAAAGACGTTTTCTATAAGACTTTCCCTGCATGAGAGAGTATCATTGTCACCTGTGTGTCTTTCAGGAAGCACCAAGTTCAATGTTCATGACTCAATTGGACCCGTAGTTCCCTTCTATTTCTCCCTCCACCAAGCAAGAGAGTGCAAAGGGCAGCAGGGGGTGTCTTTGTGGCCCACGTTGTTAGTATTAAAAGAGGTACGAGGGCCAGCCCAGTGGTGTAGTGGTTAAGTTCGTGCACTCCACTTCAGCAGCCCGGGGTTTGTGGGTTTGGATCCCAGGTGCAGACCTACACACTGCTCATTAACCTGTGCTGTGGCAGCGTCCCACATACAAAATAGAGGAAGATTGGCACAGATGTTAGTTCAGGGACAATCTTCCTCAAGCAAAAAGGAGGAAGATGATTGACAACAGATGTTAGCTCAGGGCCAATCTTCCTCACCAAAAAATAAAATAAAAAAGAGGCATGAGAGACCATGTAGTGTTGCCAATATTTTACTGTTTTTATTATGACTATTATTATGCCTGTGGGGAGTCATTTCGTCTCTACATCCAGCACAGGCCCCTGCCACTCCCTGTGGTCTTACACTCTGCTGGGATTATACATGTAGCTAACTTTCCTGGCCTTCCTGGTAAACAGTTATTTTTGGTACCTCTCCATTTTAGATGTGGGGAAACTGAGGGCCTAAAAAGAAGCTGAACTGCTTTGGGTCCCATGGTGGTTGAGGCAGGTCTAGAACTCTGCCTCTTTCCAGAGGCTGTGGTCAGTTCAGTTGATCCAGACCATCCCTTACAGGAGGGGAAGGGGAAAATGTCTGTCTATCCATCTTTTCCCCTCCTTTCTCCTTCTCCTGCTTCTCTTACTATCAGAAGAAACCTGGATTAGTAAATTGCTGGTACCTTACCGTAGATTTATTTCATGTTACTCCTGGCCACATTTGTATTCTAAGTGACCATAAGGAGAAGAATGCAAAAGAATTGATTCCTGGTACTAAAATTTCAGCCTCTGCAGCACCTGTGATATTTCGGAACAGCTGAGTCTTCTCTACTGCCTTTCACATGATACAACGATGAAGCTGCTTATCCACGTAGGTATAAGATGGCCCTATATCCAAAAGGCAGCCCCCACGATCTTGCCTGGCACCAAGGGCCTAGGGCAGAGGGAGCAGGTGGCATCAGCGGCAGAAGCACCTTTAACTGTGCAGCATAGGGCCTGCTTCCTCTCATCCCCAATAGATAACCCAGAAATTACATCCTGAAACTTAGTTCCACAGAAAGAAAAGCAAGGGGAGGAATAACTTGAAAAGAAGA